GAGAGAGAGAGAGAGAGAGAGAGAGAGAGAGAGAGAGAGAGAGAGAGAGAGAGAGACGGCATCAACTACTCCACGACTGGCTATCTCAATCGCAATTTGTCAATCGGCTCCGAAGAGAGAGAGAGAGAGAGAGATCGGACCTGGGAGGCCATTCGCATCGTCCTTTTTCGTCTTTCATCTTGATCTCCTCTTGGCCATGCAATGGACCATGACGAAGACGAAGAAGAAGACGGCGACGAGGACGATGGCGATGGCGATGGCGATGGCGATGGTGATGTTAACGGTGACGGGCATGCAGGCAGCGGGCATGATGCCCGGCGTGACGGCCCCGACAACTCACTCCGATCTTGTGAATGCGGTGACGTCAAAATGTTCCATAGTGCTGACATCGGACGTGGTCCTGACTTCGAATCTTTCCGACGTCAACACGACGGCTTGTCCGGAGTTGAAGATAGTGGGGAACTGCAGTTCGCGGCGCAACTTGAAGTGCAAGATCGATGGGGCTGGCCGGTATAGCTTCCTTCGATGTCCAAGGACCGTCCATTTGGAGAATCTGCACATAACGCGAATGGCGTCCAGGGGGACGGATAGTGCTCCTGTGGTGTTGAGGCCAGTCACACTTGTGATGAAGAAGTGCTTGGTCACACGCAATGCCAATAGAGACGGCACAGGAGCTATCATCCTCTGGGAAGGCGATGGCACGCTGCAAGATTCTATCTTTGACGGGAACAGTGGAAGTAATGGAGGTGCTCTCCTCCTAGACTCATTCTCCCAGCTCGCTGCAGTTGATGTCCTCTTTCGACGCAACACAGGAGTTGCAGGGGGGGCCATCAAGAACGTGGAGAGCGAGCTGCAGTGCGATCGCTGCTTGTTCCTTCGCAATCAAGCTGAGGATGGTGGCGCCGTCTACCTGACTGACAGCGATGGGACTCATGCGACATTCACGAGGACGGAGTTTCGGAGCAACCGAGCTGCGAGGAGAGGTGGTCGGGGCGGCGCCGTCTTCATCGAGGAGGTAGATCCCGGTGTGCGATTCTGCTTCTGCACGTTCGCGAAGAACACTGTAGCCATGGCCTACGGACGACGGGTTGCCGAGCACGTGTACGTCCGGATGGATCTGGATCTCGATGCGAATGTCACATTCTGCCCCGATCGCCCGCAGACCGGCATCACCATTTGCCCCGGGAGCGAATCGAAAGTCAAGGATGATTGCACGGGCTGTTGAAAGATGTCATCGGCAAGCTTGTCGCCTATGAACTGCATGTGCCAGACAATGCAGACATGAACTAAATGAGAAGAAGGACCGTTCGTGGAGTCGTGGACCACATTGGACCAGTGATTGTCCGCACCTGTGCACCCCAAGGCATTGACTTTCATTGTTTTGCTTGCTACACTCGGAGAACCGGAGGTTCCAGCATATAGCCAGATTTTCTCTTTTCTTTGATGCTGTAACTGCAGTTCAAAGAAAATAGTAAAATACCCCTTTGTCGAGGAATTTTGCTTGTTCATGTTATTCACTAATTTTTTGGTTTTCAGCTTCTCCCACATTAATATAGTGTACATTGTACAATGTACATGAAACATTGTTCTTCTCACCGAGGACCAGCAGCGACTGATGGAAATAGGGACCAAGGTCCAAGGGTTGATTTTTCTTGCCACATTTAATTTAATATAGCTGAGGCTAACATTATCCTTTCACAATATGGCACTGTCCACTTTTGGGGCTCCAACCGGCATGTGTGGTATCACTGGTATGTGAACGGTAGACTAACGACTTTTTTTTGCAACATGTGTGGTAGATGAACGGAAAATTTAATACATATTATTACATTCAATACATTGTACATGTTTAGTATCTTATCTCCTGAACCGTTGGCAGACTCGGCAAGTATC